TGCATACCTAATTTCAATTTCATGTGACTGATGGTTGTGAAATTATAGCTGATAAAAATTTCCACGCCTGTGGGATGTGCCACGCCCCCTTTTACAAACGCCTTTATATATACTTCACTGTAAGCACCTACCATAGTTATGTCTGCATACCAAATTTCAAGTTTATGTGGCTTATAGTTCCAGAGTTATAGCTGATAAAATATTCCTATGGGATGTGCCACGCCCACTTTTACAACCTCATACCCTACTATAAGCACCTACCATATGTATGACTGAATAACAAATTTCAAGTTCATATGACTTATAGTTTCGGATTTATAGCTGATAAAATATTCCACGCCTATTGGATGTGTCACGCCCACTTCTACAAACTCATTTATTTATACCATACTATAAGCACCTACCATATATATGACCGTATACCAAATTTCAAGTTCATGTGACTTATGGTTCCGAAGTTATGATTGATAACAAATTTCACGCCTATGGGATGTGCCACGCCCACTTTTACAAAGTCATTTATATATACTCTACTATAAGCACCTACCATATATATGACTGCATACCAAATTTCAAGTTCATGTGACTTATAGTTTCGAAGTTATGGCTGATTAAAAATTTCACGCCTATGGGTTGTGCCACGCCCCCTTGTCGAATCCCAATTTTTTTACCCTATTATAGGCCCAAGTGTCATGGCAATACTCTTTCAAAATTTTGTTTGATTCTCTATCGTGTAAGTTTCAAGTCCAAATATTTCTTTTAAATTGGCTAAATTGTTTTCTAAATATGAGCCGAATCGGCAAGTAAATGCCTTTTTTATGAATATCCCGACCCCAGCGCCATCTAGCGATTAAATTTTTGGTCAAAAGATTTCCCTTCAAGGTACTGACATATGTTCCAAATATGACCGAAATCGGTCCAGCCGTTTGGTAATTTAGTGACATACAATATACAAAAAACTCTATTTCATTGTGAAATTGTGACATCCCAGCTTTCTTAATTTTTTGGCAACAACAACAAAAAGTTTTGAATTTTTTTTATCGAAACACCTTCCACACAGAAGGTTCAAGAAAGTACTTTTTACAGAATTTAAATCAGTTCAGCCGTTTGGTCAGGCATCGCGGTCATACGAAAAACATTTCATATTTATATATATAGACTAGCAGAGCACCCGACGTCGTTCGGAGTAAACAAATCAAAATATAAAACAGTAATACAAATATTCAGCTCAGCTATTTTCTTTCTGTTTAAATTAAGGCATCCTTATGAGCCAAATTTTTAGCTTTATCGTACTTCAACTAATATATATTGATCATCCCTTTCTGTACTAAAAATCATGTTCCATTATTAATATTGGCTGCATTAAGGAAATGATAGAATTTTTAAAGTTTCGGGATCAATAAACTGATTTAATCTTTCCATAAGCATTTTAAAAAAGGTAACCGGTTTCATCTCTTAATGTATGCATAATTGCACACCGTTTTGATCAATTTAAATACTGATTTTTAACTTTTACTTAACATATGTGTGGCGTAGAACAAATTTGAAATTCATTTGTTGAATTCTAAACACTTAAAGCCAAATTCACAGTGCGTAGTTAACTCAGAATCGTTGACTACAGATTTTCAGTACAACACTGTGGATTTGGCCCTTGGCCATTATTTAAATATTTTAAAGTATAGTTAAATCATTAGTTAAACTTAACCACAAAAATGTCTATAGAATTTTCTTAGTGTTCACAATTAGACTGTTTACACATAAAATGTTTTTTGTTTAAATTAACGCATATTAAAAGAGGTTACCAGTTTCCTACCCTAATGCGTGCAAATTTAGACACTGCCTATTTAATTTTATATAACAAATTTGTCGCGTAGAGCAAAATTACACAAAATGTACTTAATTTTTTTTTAGTAGGGAATGTATTTTTTCATTGAAAATGTTTTTGCGATTTTAAACATTTCGTGTGTATATTTTAAACATCTCATGTTCAAAAATCCAGTCTTGAACATTTTATGCATATACTTACACAGATTTTGTTTGAAAATAAACACTTTGCAGTAGCAGAACACTGAAGCAGCACTGACGGTAAAAAAACGGCAATGTGTCGTATGGCGTGAACAACTCTATTTGAGACTGGGGCAACGATATTTTATTTTTCACTGACACTGATAGGTACGGCACTGATATGTACAGTGTTTGTTTGTTTTGAACGCAGCGCTGCTTGTATATACATACACTAGCAGACCCGGCGAACTTCGTCCCGCCCAAAATTGTTATATATTTTATTGAAACTTTTTGGTCCAACATTTTCACCAACAATTCACGATTACGATTTTCATTGGCACATTTGTCTGCTAAGATTAAGGTTTGATGGTCATTTGCCGCTTTAAATAACCTAAGGAAAGTGTTATATCCGTTCTTGAAATTCTTCAGTTGTGCGGAATTTCATAGTACGGTTATTCGCAAAGCGAAATAAATTTTTTCCTCTTCACTCCCTGGCGGCAACAATGACCCGGTTCTATAGTGAATGTCCTAGAAGCTTTACAGTATAGTAGGTGCCAATTTCAAAATGGGTGCGAATCATTGTTCTGTACCTTAAAAGTTTGATCGCATAATAATATTGGAAAATAACTAGATTGGGCCAATTGCAACGCAGGAACGTCGATATACTCAATGGTGCAACAGGCCGATTTAATCTGACCTTCACGGCCCCTTTTCTCACTTGGTTATTTGTAGTAATAGCTCGACTTCAGCACCACTTGGCAGCACGTTTTTGCCATAGTATTGCATACATATTTAAAACATTAGCCAAATCGGATCATAAATAAGATTTTTAGTAATAACTCAACTACAGCGCAAACTGTCGGATTAAATTGTGAAACTAAACCATCCAGAGACCCACTCAAATACACAAAAAGTTTCGTTAAAATCCGTACAACCATTTAGGAGGATTTCACTCACAAACACACCTACAGAAGAATTAAAAAATTCATTCAAAGGTAGCTGAAGGTCGGTAGGTTTGTAGGACCCACACCCCTTTTCAAATAGCCCAAAATTTCTCCATGAGTATGGGCTTGATTTCAACTATATAGATATCTCCATACGAAGTTCCAGTACTGTACCATGAATACTTTCAGAGATATGCAGTATAAAAATTCGATTTATATGGGAGGAGCCACGCCCCCCTTTCCAACAGCTGCCCTCTTTCTTCATGAGTATGCGATTGATTTCGTATATCTCCACACCAAGTTCCAGAACACTACCATGAACACTTCCAAAATAGGCAGTATGAAAAATGCGGTTTGTATGGAAGATGCCACGCCCCTTTTTCCAATAGTTCCAATTTTTCTCCAAGAGTATGCGATTTATTTCGTACATCTCCATACAAAACTCTAGAACTCTACCAAAAATTTCCAGAGATAAGCAGTATGAAAAATTCGGTTTGTATGGGAGATGTCACACCCCTTTTTACTATAGCTAAAATTTTTCTCCAGGGGTATGCGATTGATTTCGTATATCTCCATACCAATTTCCAAAACTCTATCATGCACACTTTCAGAGATATATAGCATGAGTAATTCGGTTTGTATGGGAAGTGCCACGCCCCCTTTACATATAGATTTTTTTCAGCCTAAAATCATCCTTGGGACACGTGCGGCAGGTGGCAGTTTCAAAAAAATCGCTTCAGCCGCTCTCGAGCCTTGCGAAAACTAACAAACGGCTTTCTAAATAAATATTAGTTGAGATATATTATATATTACAATTATATTTTAACAGTATCCGTTCTTTCTGATTGGCGCAAAAAAATCTTGCCTAGTGCCGAATTCGCCCCTTGATATGGTCGTTACTTAAAGCTATTTATATTCGAAATTGCATGAAAATTGGAAAACAGGAATCTATAAGCTTATCCAGGCAAAAAGCTACCTATGTACCGAATTTTAAGCAAATCGGACCATAAATACGATTTCTTCGAACAGATCGGTCCCTGGTCCACTTCTCGGACAAAATGGATCATATATGCTAAAAAGCTACCTACGTACCGAATTTTAAGCAAATCGGACCATAAATGCGATTTTTTGGAATAGATCGGTCCCTGGTCCACTTTTTGGAAAAAATTGATCACATATGCCAATAAATGCTAAAAAGCTATCTGCGCACCGAATTTTAAGCAAATCGGACCGTAAATTCGATTTTTTCGAATAGATCGGTCCCTGGACCACTTCCCGGAAAAAATGGGTCATATATGCTAATATATGCTAAAAAGCTACTTACGTACTAAATTTTAAGCAAATCGGACTATAATACGATTTTTTCGAATAGACCGGTTCCTGGTCCACCCACCCGAAAAAAAGTAAGATTTTTTCGCCTAAAACATGGTGCTTACCGAAAGCTATTTGTATACAAAATTTCATGAAAATCTGACCAGCCGTTCGCGAGATTACCTGTTACAAAAAAAAGGGACTTCTCTTTATATAATTAGTATAGATAAATATCGCTTTGGCGCAGCGCTGCTTGTATATAAATTTCGCTTGCGCGTGCCTGAAGCTGGCAAAGATTCTTTTTTTTATTTCTGCGCTCTGCTAGCTGAGTATAAAAAGATAAGAGAGTAGAGAGAAATATGTATGTGGTTTGTTGATGCTCTTGTGGGAACACAGTTGAAGCATCTGGCAACACTTACCCTTTGGTGGGACTTTTACTATCCTCTTTATGCATTTATTCATATGTTTTTTCCTTTTTCGGTTGCAAGTTTAAACTGATAAAATTTCCCAAGCTGGGTTTTTAGAAGCTTCTAGACTTTCGTACCAGCAACATAAATTTCTGATATTGCAAAACTAATTGCGACTAATCCTAAGTGTTTAAATAAAAATATATTCTCTGCATTGTAAATTCATTTGTGGATTGTTATTCCCCACAAATTGGTGACCCCTTCAGTTTAGCAGATAATCGACTGGCTTCTACCATCGCTGGTTCGGAGCACGTGCCAACAGGTGCACGCAACCATGTGCATTTCCTCGAAATCAGGGAAACTCAAGCAGCCCCCAGTAGTTTCGGCGAACACTGGTGGCAATGTTACTCCACGCCGACTATTCATATTCGACCGCTCATCAGGCACGAGATACCTCGTCGACACAGGCGCGGATATTTCTGTGACCCCACCCACACGTAAAACTAACTTAACGCCAACGCAACTTCTGCTTCAAGCCTCAAACGGTACCCGCATCGAAACTTATGGTGAGAAAGCAGTCGTCCTTAACGTCGGACTCCGTCAACCGATTCGCCGGGTATTCTGTGTGGCTAGCGTGCCATATCCAATTATCGGTGCAGACTTGATCCACAAGTGGGAGCTAGTGGTCGACCTCAGACGGGGTTGCATCATTGACCCCAACACCGGTGCATACAGCAAGGGCTTCTACGCAACGGCTCCGATCACATCCATCACAGCCCTCACCGAAGCAGGTAAATTTACAGAAGCCCTGAAGGAGTTTCCTGAACTGCTTGGTAACCCGTCAAATCGCAAGGCTATGAAGCACTCGGTTAAGCACATCATTCCCACCACTGGACCACCATGTGTAAAACGCGTACGCCAGTTATGTCCCGAACGTCTAAAGGTGACTAAAGAGGAATTTAAACTAATGGTCGAACTAGGTCATGCAAGGCCTTCCAGCAGCCCTTGGGCCAGCCCCTTACACATGGCCAAGAAGAAGAATGGAGACTGGAGACCTTGGGGTGATTACGGCAGGCTCAATGAGCAAACCATCCCAGACCGATATCCAATTTTGCTCCTCCACGACTACACCACAATCTTAGCTGGAAAGGACATATTCTCCAAGATCGATCTACGGCGCGCATTTCACCGCATAACGGTGGCAGAGGAGGATGTACCTAAAACGGCTGTAATTACCCCATTTGGGTTATTCGAATTTCTCAGCATGCCGTTCGGACTCCGAAACGCAGCTCAGTCATTTCAACGTTTTATTAATGAAGCCCTCTCAGGTCTCGACTTCGGGTACGTTTATATTGACGACCTACTGATAGCATCAGCAGGTAAAAAACAGCACGAACAACACCTCCGCCTAGTGTTCCAACGACTTAGCAAATTTGGCCTTTGCATTAACGCGGATAAATGTGTATTTGGTTCACCCTCAGTCGACTTCCTGGGATACCGTAGAACAGCATCTGGTTCAGCACCATTGCCGGATAGAGTTCAAACGCTGCGCGACGTCCCAAAACCGAAAACGATCTTGGAGTTAAGAAGATTCATAGGAGCAGTAAATTTTTATCGCCGCCATATTAAAAACGCTGCTTCCGTACAAGCGTCACATAACGAATTCTTGAAGGACTCGAAGAGAAATGACCAGGGGCTGAACAGGCGTTCACTGATATCAAAGAGCAGCTCGCAACCGCCACTCTTTTAGCGCATCCTTTTCCTGCTGCTGAGATTCGCATAACATGCGACGCATTAAGCACCGCCGTAGGTGCAGTCCTGGAGAAAAGCTGTAATAATATTTGTTAACCGCTTGGATTCTTTTCGAAAAAGCTGTCATCTGCACAAAAGAATTACAGCACTTATGACAGAGAGCTGACCGCAATTTACGAGGCTGTCAAAAATTTTCGCTACTGGGTCGAGAGCCGCGAATTCGTAGTAAGAACCGACCACAAGCCACTTATCTACGCGTTCCGTCAACAATCTGACAAGTCATCTCCGCGACAAATCAGGCAATTGAGCTTTATCAGCCAATTTACGACCAACTTTCAATACATCAGTGGATCCGATAACAACGTAGCAGATCCATCCTCCGCCTAGTGTTCCAACGACTTAGCAAATTTGGCCTTTGCATTAACGCGGATAAATGTGTATTTGGTTCACCCTCAGTCGACTTCCTGGGATACCGTAGAGCAGCATCTGGTTCAGCACCATTGCCGGATAGAGTTCAAGCGCTGCGCGACTTCCGAAAACCGAAAACGATCTTGGAGTTAAGAAGATTCATAGGAGCAGTAAATTTTTATCGACGCCATATTAAAAACGCTGCTTCCGACTCGAAGAGAAATGATCGGAGACCAGTACCTTGGACAGCAGAGGCTGAACAGGCGTTCACTGATATCAAGGAGCAGCTCGCAACCGCCACTCTTTTAGCGCATCCTTTTCCTGCTGCTGAGATTCGCATAACATACGACGCATCAAGCACCGCCGTAGGTGCAGTCCTAGAGCAAAGCTGTAATAATATTTGGCAACCGCTTGGATTCTTTTCGAAAAAGCTGTCATCTGCACAAAAGAATTACAGCACTTATGACAGAGAGCCGACCACAATTTACGAGGCAGTTAAAAATTTTCGCTACTGGGTCGAGGGCCGCGAATTCGTAGTAAGAACTGACCCCAAGCCACTTATCCACGCATTCCGTCAACAATCTGACAAGTCATCTCCGCGACAAATCAGGCAATTGAGCTTTATCAGCCAATTTACGACCAACTTTCAATACATAGTGGATCCGATAACAACGTAGCAGACACATTTTCGCGAGTAGACACTATGCACCTACCGGCAGTAGTGGACCAGAGTCCTGCACTGAATTAGTAAAACACAACTTTGAGCTGCTTGCGAGAAACTAAGTGTGAAGCAAGCGAAATAATTACGGAGAGCAAGCAAGTGTGATTGCCGCTCACTTATCGTTATGAAGAAGAGAGCGCCGGCTTGTGAGCTAGTTAGCTTGTGTTGAGCAAGTATTCACAAGTTTTTAGCTTATGAGCTCTCCAATTCATATTGCTCACTGGCTTCGTTTCGCTTAAATTATGAATCTGAAGGCTTGTGAATAAACGCAAGAGCTCATGAGCACGCAAGCTACTTAAGCCATTTGAGCAGTTGCGCTGTGAAGCAAACGCTAGAAAAGGATGTTTTATGGAAATTAAGTGCAAGGAACTTTTTTTTAGCAAATAAGAGTTTAAAAATTGCTTGATTATAAAGCCATAGGTATAAATCTGACTGATTTTTAATACAAATGAATTATGCTTATCAAATTTAAACTCTTTGACCTAAGTGGATAACACGAATATAAAATCAGGTATTACTTGTTCGTATCGTAGTTTTTCTGCTAATTGTGTATGTATTAATGTATTTAGGATGGTTTTACTTTCTTATTTTGTAATTATAGTTTCTATGTTTCAACTTAAATTGTGGCGGGAGTGACAAATTGAGCATCGGTATAAAAAGTAATCGTAATATATTTACTATTCTATTAACAAATATTTTTACCTAAAGCTTATAGCCATATTCATAAAAAATAAAGTAGCTTTAAAAAAGGCTTGTAAATTGAAAAATGTATGAAACCATGTTAAAAAAGAAGGTAGTTTCAGTAAACAACTTTTTGATGGATACTGGGGTTTTTGAAGCTTCATAATTTATTCATGTTGCAAATGTGTTTAAAAATAAATTAGAGAATTTGGAGATGGGGATTTTCTCCATAGTTAATAAGTGTAAATATTTTAGTCTTCTTAGACGAAACCAAACAAGTCTAGTACATTATATACATACGTATTGAAAATATGTACATAAAAAGAATGCAATTTAAGTTCGAAATACAATGGATAATGGCATATTACTTACGTTTATGGTATTCCCCACCCCAACCCCAAACTGGAAAGTAATCTATATGTATGTATGTTGCGTTAACATTATTAAAAGATTTTATTTAATAAATATATATAATAAATAAGAAATAATAAAACTCAAGGTTAGTTCATTTTTTTGGAATGAAATTAATGTAATTAAAAACTTAACGTAAAATACATTGGGAATTTCTAGAAATAAAAGTGGTTACATTTTTGGGAAAATATTAAAAAAAACTTGTATATAAACGTCACTTTTTAAATAATTCACACTTTGTTTCAGGAATATGGTCATGTAATATCTTATTATATTTTATAAAACTAGATTTCAGTCTTTAGTAATGGCTGACAAGTATAATTAATTAAAACAAAATCACATGTCAGTTCAATGATATAAAAAATAACACACTTCATTCATTTTGGGAAAAAAAATAAAAATGTTCTAACATAAAAACTATTATTAAAAAAACAGTTCAATTTTATAAACCATGAAACGAATAATCCTCCAGAGAAATAAAAAGCTTGATTGCAAAAACTATTAAAAATTTAAACGTTAAAATAAATTATTTTTACAGTTCAGTTAAATTAATATTATTGTCGATATTTGGATCATGAAAAAGTTATCCTACAAAAAATTAAAGTTAATTGAACTATTTTTTATCCTTTCGTAGAAGATTTATATTTTCTTTTAGCTTAAATCATCTGATTATGATGAATGGGTAGGAATTTAAAGAAAAATGGGCTGAGTGAAAACTATTTGGGGTAAACCTTATCCAAGGGTATCAGGGCTTCTAATGGTGAATTTCCGGGAAGCATGGAAATGAAAATAATAACAAAAAATAAGTTCAGTTTAAAAATGTCTAGAGGAAAATCAATTTGTCGTTCCAATGCACAGTAGGAACTTTTTATTAGTTAGTTTTAAGTATTGAATTCAGGAATATTATATTATCTACGGTTTTAGGAGCAAGTCGATTTCTTTTGTCAGTTATCAAATTACCGGCCAAGGAAAATACACGTTCAGACGCCGCACTACTTGCAGGTATAGATAATATTTTAAGTGCAAATTTTGACAACCGTGAAAAGATAGCGTTATGCTGATTCCACCATTGAATTGCTTCAAAGTCATTATTAATTTGTATTCGTTCGTTATAATATCTGTCTATCTCTTCTCCGACACTATCCGCCGCGCCCACGTTTGAAATATTTGGAAAAAAGAAATGCAGATCGCTTGGAGTTGTTAAAGAATTTTGAAAATTAGTGTGGGGGAGCATAGAAGATGACATTACAAATGATGGTGAAGTAAGAGGTGTCGAATTTACGACTGATACAGTTGGAGGGGATGTAGTTCCTTCGGACGCGTAAAGTTGTGTATTTCTTGATATCTGTTCGATGCAGAAATGGTTCGCAGCATCAAAATCAAAGTCTACCATATTTTTTGCTGGAGGATATAAAAATAGTGCCACTTGGAGGTAGATGCTTAGGTTAGCAATCCATGTGCTTTCGATATATGTTGATATATTATGTTTAAAGCTGACTATCGCTGGAACATCGGAATGAACTGCTTCGCATATCGTTTTTAATCTGAAAATGGAAGGAAGTACAAAACATATTGATACGAAACTGCATCCCTGCAATTTTTTAGAAATTGTGTCAAAGTACTGGCACATCTCTACTAAAGAGTTGACGATATTTATATTAATCTCAAACAAGCGACTTTGTTGACTATTTGCTGCTAAAATTTCGCTTATAGTCGACCAACTGTCGGAAATGGATTTAAGCATTACCAAGTAGGAGTTCCAACCATGATACAAACATGAAGGTAGTTTCAATAAACCACTTTTGACGGATAATACAATTTTTTGAAGTTTCATAAATTGTGAGTATTATCATCGGCCTTGCCACTTTGATAATATTAAAACAATAAATCGGAGTGTTTTCCTTCCCATATTTATACCAATGTAATAATATTTCAAATCAAAAACCTTTATCAGTGCTTGGTACTTTTTTTACTTACGTAGCTCGCACTATTTTTATTAAAAATATA